AACGTGATACCGTGTAATAATGGGAGATAGATCACTGGTATTGGAGTATCGGTTAATTAGCTTAACGACTTTTGTGGGAAAATAGGCTGGATTCCGATAACTGCAAAAACCATTCGTCTGCATCCTGAGAAACACAGATTTAAAACAAAAAGTCACAACATGGTTTTACTAAAGACTTGTTCATGTTTGACGTATTTGTTCGTATTCTATTCCAGCATAGTTGAAGCAGTTGATAGCGGCTAGAATTGTCACATTAGAACATAAGAATAAAGGTAACTGCAGAAGGCCTATTGCCCCATACGAGGCAGCTCCTATTTATAACCACCCAATCCCACTCATATACATATGTGTAAATCACGAAAATTAACACATGATGAAAAGATACATCTTCATTCCTTCTGAAGATGTATTAATATACGAAAGTACTTAAGGAAATTCCTGTTTCAATTCTTCCTCCGTGGTCAGACACTGTCACTCATATACATGTCCAACCCACGTTTGAAACAATCGAGGGACCCCTCGATTGTCATATATGAATGAGTCAGGCTGGATATAAATAGCTGCCTCGTAGGGGGGCCAATAGGCCTTCTTATATATATTCTTTATATCTCCATTGGTATACCCATTCATCCACTTATACATATCATTCATCTCACAAGTAACTATTCGCCTTTCTATAAACTAAGCATGTCGAATCTTACTTTTGCGGGATCACCATAGCCCGTGCTACATGGACACTTCGTTCTGAGTAGCTAAATCTGAAACAACAACAACAACAGAATCTCACTTTTCATATTTGAAACCTTTTTTGAAAGGTTTTAAATTTACGGGACTAACTTGATCATTCTTCGCTAAACGCATTGTTTTTTAACTATGTTATAATTTGGCGACTCACATGGGATGTGAATCTAGATATCCTGCACTAGTTAACTTCGAATGAACTATGAGGGTGTTGACCAGACCACACACTAGAAATTGAAGGGACGACGACGTTTCGGTCCGTCCTGGACCATTCTCAAGTCGATTCTCAAGTCCAGGACGGACCGAAACGTCGTCGTCCCTTCAATTTCTAGTGTGTGGTCTGGTCAACATACTTCAGCCACGTTATTGTGACTCATCGCCTGCAACTATGAGGGTATCTTCTAGTATTCACGAATGAACGAGATGTTTACAAAGCCTCATTCCATATCATGTCACTTGATAACCAATATATCGTTGAAAATCGTAGCCTCACTCTTTTTCGCAGAATTTACAATTAATGTCCTGAGTTGGGAGGTTTGTGTCCTATCGTTACCTTCCATAGATATCAAAAGCCTGAGTCTGGCTATTACCATATCACACTACCATGTGTTATCACACCACCATGTGTTATCACAGTGCAATCAATCGTGTTATCTCACAAGTTTCGTTGAATTCTGATATACAGGTGATTTGTGAGATCTCAGAATACCTTCATATCGCTTGATAAAACGACTATATTGCTCATTTTTGGGTAACCAGGGTTGGATAATTATTGTAATCCTATCCCTATTGTAAGAGAAAATCCTTTGATACAGTACCGCACAGGATACTGCTATTCAAACTTGAGAGGCAGGCAGGAGTAAGCAGAAAGGCCCTAGCATGGGTAAGGAACTGCCTAACAGGAAGGACCCAGAGAGTAACAGCATGGGGCGAGAAAGTCTATTCCCAATGCTCTGTATGTTCAATCATATCATTAATTCAGTAATAGACTTTCTTGGGCCATGAGAATAATCTTTGGAAAGTGCACACGGAATAGTAACAGAACGAGGGGACATGGGTGGAAGCTGGAAACTCAGATGAGTCACAGAGATGTTAGGATGTTTTCTTTTAGCGTGAGAGTAGTGGAAAAATGGAATGCACTTAAGGAGCAGGTTGTGGAAGCAAATACTATTCATAATTGTTAAAAACTAGATATGATAGGGAAATGGGACAGGAGTCATTGCTGTAAACAACCGATGGCTAGAAAGGCGGGATCCAAGAGTCAATGCTCGATCCTGCAGGCACAAATAGGTGAGTACACACACACACACACACACACACACACACACACACACACACACACACACACACACACACACACACACACACACCGATGGCTAGAAAGGCGGGATCCAAGAGTCAATGCTCGATCCTGCAGGCACAAAAAGGTGAGTACACACACACACACACACACACACACACACACACACACACACACACACACACACACACACACCGATGGCTAGAAAGGCGGGATCCAAGAGTCAATGCTCGATCCTGCAGGCACAAAAAGGTGAGTACACACACACACACACACACACACACACACACACACACACACACACACACACACACACACACACACACACACACACACACACACACACACACTTTCATCACCTAACCCTGTGCACCATACACAAAAAATGGTAAAACAATGTTTACAAACAATTCTAACATAAACCCACGCTCGGGAAGAACTGGCTTCTCGGGAAGAACGTGGCGGAGTAATGAACCCAGAATGCCAGAACGCTTCTCTTAGATTTCCACTTAAAGGAGGGAGAGAGAGGGGGGGGAGGGATTGTGGATCATACCAGTGTAAGCTGGCTTGTTGGGTATATACCAAGTGAGACACAATCATACCGGAGGAGGATACAATCTCACTTGATTTGTTTCGGAAAGCAAGTTTTTTCTCTCTTAACACACAGGTTAGTCAAAGGTTAAGAATCAGGGCCCAGTAGGTATAGCTCAACCCTCCCTTAAAAATCAAGTTTAAATCATCAGAATTAACTGAATACAAGTGTTAATTACGGTACTATAGACTACGTGTCACGTGACTGAAGATTTTTCAACTGTAGTCGGATTTATTAATCGCATGATTAATCAAGACCTTTTACTACTGTAATCTGGTTTATTAATCACGTGACTAGTAACGACATTTACTACCATAGTCATATTTATTAATTACGTGACTGGTAAATACTTTTACTACTGTAGTCAGATTTACTAATTACATGATTAGTAAATACCTTTACTATTAATTAATCACGTGATTAATCACGTTTTTCTGTGAGGAAAAAAAAATTGATGTAGAAACTCAAGGTGGAACCTCTAACAATAATTCAAAATTGGACAAACTTATATTTGAAAACAAAAATAATGTAGGTAAGCAAAGGTACATTTCTTATCCAGTTGTAAATACATTTCTAAGAGTTGTGGCAAGTTTGAATTATCATAAACAAATCATAATGTTTAAACACCGAGTGTAAAACATTAGACAAATGCACACATTTAATTATTTAATTATGTATCCTAGCCTTTTCGCCTCTTGAAAACATTTACAACAATTTATCGTAGGTTGTGCCCCAATAGATAATATCATTTTGTGAAGTTGCATCATAATGGCATCCATAAGCATGCTGTGTGTGTTATATTCCAATATATATGTCAGATTTCATTTTCAGAGGCTTCTAAAGAAATCACATTAGTTTCCGTGACATTCTGAGTGCTAGGCTGTCTTTGTGGTGTGCACTTACCCTCAAGACCGGCTGTATACATCTTTCTTGTGATGCTTTGTTTCATAGCGTGGCTTTGGAGTCCCCAACCTGGTCCCTACTACAAGTCCTGGAGTCCCAACCTGGTCCCTACTACAAGTCCTGGAGTCCCAACCTGGTCCCTACTACAAGTCCTGGAGTCCCCAACCTGGTCCCTACTACAAGTCCTGGAGTCTCCACCTGGTCCCTACTACAAGTCCTGGAGTCTCCACCTGGTCCCTACTACAAGTCCTGGAGTCCCCAACCTGGTCCCTACTACAAGTCCTGGAGTCTCCACCTGGTCCCTACTACAAGTCCTGGAGTCCCAACCTGGTCCCTACTACAAGTCCTGGAGTCCCAAACCTGGTCCCTACTACAAGTCCTGGAGTCCCCAACCTGGTCCCTACTACAAGTCCTGGAGTCCCAACCTGGTCCCTACTACAAGTCCTGGAGTCCCCAACCTGGTCCCTACTACAAGTCCTGGAGTCCCAACCTGGTCCCTACTACAAGTCCTGGAGTCCCAACCTGGTCCCTACTACAAGTCCTGGAGTCCCAACCTGGTCCCTACTACAAGTCCTGGAGTCCCAACCTGGTCCCTACTACAAGTCCTGGAGTCCCCAACCTGGTCCCTACTACAAGTCCTGGAGTCCCAACCTGGTCCCTACTACAAGTCCTGGAGTCCCCAACCTGGTCCCTACTACAAGTCCTGGAGTCCCAACCTGGTCCCTACCAGCACCACGTCTCCGTTTCACTACTGCCCACAGCGCCTCTGGCTTCCTAAACATTTACTTCAGAATACCGTACACAAAGTATCTGCGTCTTTAGGAATTTCCAAACTGATCTAAGTCATTAGTTTGATTATGTATTGTTTGAGCTTCTCTCGTAGAGGGGAGTGTTTATATATATATATATATATATATATATATATATATATATATATATATATATATATATATATATATATATATATATATATATATATATATATATATATATCTTTCTCTGGGTAAGAAAGTTTCTCTGGTCAGGTTCGCTGCTGACAAACCGGTGAAAGTTCATCAAATATGCATAGCCTATTTATCCCCACATTTTCAAGGAGTCAGCTTAACTCCCCTGAACTGATCTTAGAGAGTTATAATGAGGTCAACAAACACCTTATTCTTTTGGCAACCTTCCCGGAAGGAGCTAACTTACCCTCGTCGATCCCCTTGAAATTGTCGCCACTCCTAGGAAAGCTTCAATACACATCATCAAGAGTGTTGGTCTGGACGGATAAGGCTTCTGGGAACGCCCACCACCACATTCACGTAAGGAATCCCAGCTATCGTAGCTTCCTACCCTTATCAGCATCTCCTTACACGTCCACCACATCAAGAACAAGCACGTGTTTGGAACTGGTGGGGCCGCTATCGCCACGAATCACAGCGAAGCGAGTGGGCCGAGGCTTAACCAGAAAGCAGTGTGGTGTAAGCGATACGAAGCGAGTCAGCTTGGCGGGGATGTGTAGCGATATTACCGAGAATTGGTTCAGTCGGAGAGAGAGGTCGGTGCGGGGCGCTCGTGGCTGGCACGGACGGCTCAGCCGCCAGTCAAGCCTCAGCCGTCGGGACGAGCACCAGCACCTCGCTCCCAGTCTCGCCTAAGGCACGCTACCCAGGAATGGATTGTTCGCCTGTATTGTGTCGTCTGAACGAGTCCGGGTCAAGAAGTTCCGCAAGTGAGTTGGAATTCGTCGTGTAAGAAAATAATACAATAACACGGAGTGCTTTAAAAAGCTTTTATTGTGACTGAAAACGGATATTTACACCGCAAGTGCTTCCTACTACAATAGTGAAACATTACTATGTGCAACAAATCAAAATATACTTGAAACTTGACATAGAGACTAGAATTAATAAGTGCCTAGGTGCCCCAAGAAACCCTTAAACTATCAAGAAAGTATTCATCTCTGGAATTTAATACTACAATCAAGGTTAGTATGTTTAAATATACAAATGTGTGAGCATTGCTTACATTTTAGTGCAAATGTGAAATATATATATATATATATATATATATATATATATATATATATATATATATATATATATATATATATATATATATATATATATATATATATATTAGTTTTAGATAACATCTATGATCTATTAGCACCACCTTCTTGAATTAAAATTATACATCTCTCTAACTTCACTTGCTATAATTATACAACTAACCAAGTACAATTTTTTTGTATAGAAATTGTGGGCAATATTTTCAGCTCGAATCATTTAACATGTCAATATATCCTAAACCAAAAAGTATATTTAAAATACACACATATATTTACTTCTAAGTAACTATAAAGTCGCAGATAATGATCACCAGTAGACAGACAGTATCCCTCCTACCCGTCCTTTCACTGTCAATCAACACTGAAGACAAACAACATAACATATGCATCAGAATGGTACAATATTTGAATAATTATTCATTTTTGTTCACTCGTATTTCTGCCACCATATTCATTCCCTTCTATGGCGTGTGATAGTTAATATATACCTTTTGCTTTCTTTGACAAGTAACTGATGGCCTTTATCAGCTTCTTGATTCAGTCTTTAAGTTTCCTTGTTCCCGGAAAGAGAGAAAGAGAGAGAGAGAGAGAGAGAGAAAGACAGAGAGAGAGAAAGAGACAGAGAGAAAGAGACAGAGAGAGAGAGAGAGAGAGAGAGAGAGAGAGAGAGAGAGAGAGAGAGAGAGAGAGAGAGAAAGAGCGAGAGAGAGAGAGAAAGAGAGAAAGAGAGCGAGAGAGAGAGAGAGAAAGAGAGAGAGAGAGAGAGAGAGAGAGAGAGAGAGAGAGAGAGAGAGAGAGAGAGAGAGAGAGAGAGAGAGAGAGAGAGAGAGAGAGACAAAGAGACGCTAGCCGACATCCTGTTGACGCTGGGGAAAAACAATGGGTGGTTGGTGGCGTTAGACGGAAGAGGGAGAGGGAAGATGATGATGATTGGAGTGGTGGAGAGGGTAATGATGGGGGAAGAGGGGTAGCAGGAGATGGAACAGAAGGCGGAGAGGTAGAAGAGCAGCAAAGTGTATTAGCGGTGATTGATAGCATGCTTTCCCGGAATCCCATAATTGCTTTGTGAATACGATGCCGTATTAAAGAATAACTTAGTTTTTTTGGTAACTGATAAAGACTTAAATTCCAGTTAAATAATAGGCAATTAACATCTAAATCAAATAAATTAAACCTGTATTTCGTGTTAAAAACTAACATTTAATGTTTCCAGCGTGAACAACAGTACATACGAACTCGCACCTGGCCAGGCTATACAAATAATAGATTTTCAACAAGGAAGTCGATGTAACCAAACATTAAAACTTGAATATAAAGCTAGAATTGCTAAATATGGTGACCACATAATTTGCCTGGGAATCACAGCGATGACGTATGCGGTCCTAAGACTGACGTCATTACGCTATTAACAACCCATTCACATATAGTTATAGCATTCTGTAGCCATTTAGCGTTTCTTGTTCAACCTGGGACTAAAGATTGTTCATGAATATCAAATGGGGTTGTGGTCCCATTGACAAGCTGTGTGTAGCAGGTGATATCTGGCAACTTCCAGTCGGATTTTTTTGTGTAATCTCATTCATGGAATCCGCCGGCGGAGAGTGTAGTAATTTAGTCTCAGCGCTTCGTACAGTTTTCATGACAAAGCGTACGATTGGCGGTTGCGATGTAATCACATATGGATACCCATTCATTTGCCATTTCACGGGCTTTAGTATGATATTCCATTTTTTGATGTCGACGAAATGATTACAAAAATTATCTGTGTCGTGTATTGACAGTCGGGTCAGCCAAATACAGTATAAGGTTTCCTCAGTTCACTAGGCGTCCCAGATCGTGATTTTACAACCCAGAATTTCAAGCTTGCGTTCTTTTAATTCATTCCCGGATTTTGAAGTGTAGGATTGCAATGTATTAAAATAATACGAACACGTAGAGAAGACAGGGATGGTGAGCGTGGGGGGCGAAGGTTTGACAACCTGGTGGCTCCACATGCTGGTGTAGAATGTTGATGAGTTTAGCTGTTTGGAAGCACAGCCGACCTGTTTCGCATTTCCAGGAATTTCTCCCGGCGCCACGGCGTTCAAATACTGGGCGATCTCAGCTCAGAGGAGGGGGGAGGAAGGAGGAGGGGGTTCTGAGAGAGGGGGGTTAATCCCCCACCTTTTTTTGTATTTCCGTCTGATTATTTGATTAGTTGGTCTTACCTCCACTTTTTAAAACGGGTTTGTGTGTGTGTGTGTGTAATTACCTAAGTGTAGTTATAGGATGAGAGGATGAGAGCTACGCTCGTGGTGTCCCGTCTTCCCAGCACTCTTTGTCATATAACGCTTTGAAACTACTGTGTGTGTGTGTGTGTGTGTGTGGAAATGGGGGGTTTGAGACGGGCGTAAGACCGTGGCAATAGGGGTCAGCACGACCAATTACCACGTGAAGAAAGAAACGGCGTTGTCTTAAGTAATCATTAAAGACAGAGCTCACTCACCTTCCAAGAATCACCTAGCAAAATACGCAGGGGCTATATATATATATATATATATATATATATATATATATATATATATATATATATATATATATATATATATATATATATATAAACTCAACTTCCTTAACGGCGATATAGGACGCAAAATATACACTAATATATGCACATATTAACAAGAATGTTCCTGCGCCCTGTTGACACTGCTAGAAATAGCAGCAGCAATGGCTACCACGGCGCTAGGCACGCCCACGTTGAGTACCTTGCCAAGCTCTACATATATTGGCCCTCTGTTTAAGGGGTGCCCTAGGGGCTGGGGTTTAAGGGGTGTCCTAGCTGCTAGGGCCTCCCCCCTCTCCTGGGCCAAGCCTAGGCTATATATCACGCCCACCTGTTGACGTGCCTAGAATGCACATATCTTGCGTATATTGTATAGCCTCTTTCATATATTACCGGCAAGTATAGTGTTATCTCATACTCTATTTACCATGCACGGCGCCCTTCAGATATTTGTAATTTGCCGAATAGAATAGAAAAATATGATTCTGTATCAAAGGATTTGTATTGTCAAAGAATACCTGAAACATGACGATTCGATTTTAAGTGATCTGCTAATAAAACAGAATTCCATTAGACTGGCAAGGCTATTTATTCGGCTAATAATAACAAAATTATAGGCGTATTTAGTCAATTTAAAATATCTCTGAAAATCGAAGTAGAGGAGCTGGAGCCGACGTCACCAGTGAGCAGTGAAAGTGGAGTGCGCGGGACAACGTGGCAACTGGCGCTCGCCGGCAACTCCGTCAGCTGATTCACGGAATGCGATGCTGCCGACCGTTGGTGGCGGCCGTACGACACAAATGTTGCTATTACTGTTCCTCTAAAACTATATATATACACACACACCCACCTTTGATTCGTGCCAGTCCTGTAGCGCAAGACTTGTATTGTCACCTCAGCTGTCGGTGGCGCGAATATCAACGACAATAGTTAAGGAATGGGAAGATAAGATACCAGGTTGTGCTGGAGGACATGGGGGCCTCTACCGGGAAAAAACTTTCTAAGGGTATTTCTTAGTAAAACATAAGGGGAAGAGGCGTGAGTGATAGGCTATATTGGGGGACGTGGAAACTGCGCTCACAACGTCTCGTCTGGCATGCTGCTCACAATTGATTTCTACCGGGGATGTTATTCGTTAAATATGGAACGCGGGGAGTGTGGGCTGGGTTGGGGAGGTAACCCTATGAGTGAGTTTCTTTTGTTATGTACCCTACACCCATTCTGTGAGTGGTAGTGTACTCCATAGCCATTCTGTGAGTGGTAGTGTACTCCATAGCCATTCTGTGAGTGGTAGTCCACTCCATAGCCATTCTGTGAGTGGTAGAGTACTCCATAGCCATTCTGTGAGTGGTAGTGTACTCCATAGCCATTCTGTGAGTGGTAGTGTACTCCATAGCCATTCTGTGAGTGGTAGTGCATTCCATAGCCATTCTGTGGGTGGTAGTCCACTCCATAGCCATTCTGTGAGTGGTAGTGTACTCCATACCCCATCATGTGAGTAATATTAAACCCCCAACCAATTTGTTTCGCTAAGCAAGCTACAAACACTGTTTAACTAGCCGGTAGAGTTTGCAGACATGATCCTAGACACGTTGGAAATCCGTATCGAACAAGGATGGAGTGTTATTAGAAAGAGGATGACGTAAAGGGTGAAGCCACCAGACGGACGCTGCAAGGAGCTCCCAGGAATCATGTGTGGGCGTCCAGCTGTTGTTGTTCAGTAACCTAACCTTTTTATTCATTTCCAGACAGGGCTAAATTAACCGTCCCGGGAAAACGTATTTGTGCGAAATACACACGATTGTGGCTTTATGTATACCCTCTCCCTGTATATGAATATATATAGTCCTGTATATATATACACGTCACAATGGAATCCACAGAGTTAAATTATGATTATTTAAAAGAGAGAGAGAGAGAGAGAGAGAGAGAGAGAGAGAGAGAGAGAGAGAGAGAGAGCAAGATGGTCTAACAATCATTTGAAGGTCCAACCACCAACGATTTAAATCGGTTTCCCCCAACCCCCCCACTCTCCCTTCCCACCCCCCTTCCCTTCCCTTCCTTCCGTCCCTCCCCCAGCCCTGAGGGCGCCTCCCAGAGTGTTCCGGGAACTCTTCGGGCACTCCCTCTTCACCAGGCCCCGTCACTTCTGCTAGGAGGGTCCTCGTCGCTGCAACATAAGGAACACGAGAGTTCATTGTGGGAGGAAAAAAAAATAATTGTTTTATAAGGAGATTTTGAGTGGAAAATGGATTTTGGAAGGAAAAGATGCCTCTTGGAGTTGTGAAATGAATTTCGGAGTAATTGTCCCCCTTATGTAGCCTATGTTTTACGATGGAAACTGTGGATTAGAATGCACTAGGATTATGTAGTTGCGTAATTTTGTCTATGCAGTTTGTTAGATTTTGAAGGAAGGCGAAGTGGATTTGGCAAGTTTTGAATTCTACTAATTCTATTTCATGAGGACTCAGAAAATGTACGTCCTATTGTGGCTGGTATATAAGATTAACACCCCAAAATGGGGCTAGCATAAGATATATTGGGTTAGCATACGTAAATAAAGGGCAAGATAGCTTAGGTAGCTAAGATATTACCACACTTTCAATATTACTCTAGTTTACCAGCGGGTATTAATTCCGGGATAGCCTAATGCAGCTTAATACTGTGATAGCCTAGTACACTACCGTACTGGAATTGCCTAGTACACTAATAATGATGGTATATAGTGCATTAATTATATTGGGTTAGTACGATGGTTAAATAACGGCTGTATAATACAGAATGGAATTGAAATTGAAATAAGTTTATTAAGGTAAAATACACACAAAGGGATGAGGTAGCTCAAGCTATTCTCACCTCGTTCAGTACATCGTGTTAATACATACATATACACACAATAGAATGGAGTTGGTGTGCAGTACAGTAACACGGGTTGTGCTGTACCGCCAGGGGTGAGCCAGTAGCGTGAGGGATCAGTTGTCGATGAAGATAGCTAGCTTCTCCGAATTACTTTTTTCGCATAACGGAAAGCTGTGAGCAAGGGCTCGGGCTCACACACACACACACACACACACACACACACACACACACACACACACACACACACACACACACACACACACACACACACACACACACACACACACATAGGTGAGAAGGTGGTGGAAGCCAAGACCGTTAGTAGTTTCAAAGCGTTATATGACAAAGAGTGCTGGGAAGACGGGACACCACGAGCGTAGCTCTCATCCTGTAACTACACTTAGGTAATTACACACACACACACACACACACACACACACACACACACACACACACACACACACACACACACACACACATTTTAGGGCGTTTGTGCATGTATATGTTTACACTTGTACGTGTTTTATACTAACGTGTTTTATTTTTGCAGGTGTTGGTGATCAACATGTTGGTGTGTCCTGGCTGCCACATCGGGCTGACGCCAACCCTGCCCGCCCCACAACCCACGCATCAACTCACGCCCGTCATGGCCCCCTGCAGCGCCTCCTCCCACTGGGTCACCACCACGCACCTCGCTCCCAGGCACGTGCAGCCGCCCTACGTGTGCGGACGCATGTTCCAGATGGGCGGAATGGCGGCCATGCGCCCCTGCTTGCCGGTACCCCATGACGCCTGTCACGTCGTCTGCTGCCTCACCTGTCCCCACGCCTGCCCTACTATGCGTTCCTGCGCACTCAGTACCAAGCTCCCCTGCGCAGTACCGGAAGCTCGGAGTTCACTACACACTTCCGGCGGGGGATTAGTCGCCGGGGAGACGGAGACGACGGGACGCAGTGTCTCCCCAGACACCAAGGTCAATCACCAGGCCTCTCTCAACCCCTTCCTCAATGCTGCCCCCTCCCAAGCCGCCACGCCTAACACCAGGCCCCAGCCTGACGCCCCTCCACCCCACAGACACAGCCCATCGCCGCCAGCCCCGAAAGAACCCGATAGTGTGTGCGACAGCCGGGTGCTGACGGCGACGCGACACGCCCTGGAGGAAAGCGGCTGGTACTACGGTGCTATCTCGTGGCAACAGGCGGCGGCCATGTTGCAGGATACTTCCGTCGGTACTTTCTTGCTACGGGATTCCGCAAGTCCGCAGTGCCTCTACTCTCTCAGTGTCCAGACTAGCAACGGCCCCACCAGCGTCAGAATCCACTATTCCTATGGTAAATTCCGGCTGGATTGCACTGGTCATAGCCAGAAACACACGCCGGAGTTTGATGGCGTCGTTTCTCTAGTGGACCACTATGTCAGCGTGACTTCAACTCAGGTGTGGGTCGACCACGAGGGTAACACCTTCAGCCCCATCGACATCAGACGGCCGCTGCGGAGAACGGTGTCTTCCCTGCAGCACCTGTGTCGCCTCGCCCTCAACACCAGCAGCTGCAGCACGCCCTCCGACGCCATACTCCCTCCTGCCCTCAGGAGCTTCCTCAAGAGATATCCCCACGCGTGCTGACCCAGTCTCGCCTTCCACGGACATGCGTAACTGTGATCAAGGGCGCTATTGTTGCTCCGGTAGTAATGTGGGTGATGTGGATTATTATTACCGCCACTACCATAGGTCTAATACTCTATACCCACTACGCGATGACTTATGAAGAGTCGTACCTTAAGGATGGTTACATCCTCGAGAGGGTTACGTCGTTCTTAAACAGACCACGTCGTCTTCAGACAGGGCAATTCACCCGTCAAGATGTGGTCAAAAGACTTGAGCACAAATTCAACTGGAGCTCCTGATTTAGGGTGCCAAAAACCGACTGTGCGTCTGTGATCATTTATAAATATGGTAGCTAATCGAAGGACCAGTATTCCCCCCTCCCTCCCTCTCTCCCTCCTCATTTCACATACATTCTTTTCAACACCAAGATTCTCAAAGCTCTCGTAGAATACATTGTTTACTATGAAACGCAAAATAAGCATTTCTATGATCTCAATACAGCCGTAAGTCTCGAGCATTAGCAGTTAAGCTTCCTATGTTGAAAAGGAGACGTATTTTCTTTTTCAAGCTTAACAGTATGGTTAAGTTATAATTTGAGGGTAAGTTTATGTTGATGTGTGGCGTGCAACAGTAAGTATGGGCGTCAAGGGGCACAAATGTTATACTAATTCGAGTGTCTGAAAGCAGGGATGGTGGGCTAGGCTGCCACATCACCCAGCCCGTTCTCTCGAGTGTTACAACGTCACAAAAATGATGTACTAAATTGCCCGAACCTAACCTAACCGAGGACCTACGGAGAGAAAACAGGACACCACGTCAATTTTGCAAGCCCCTACGATCTTTAGTACATCAATTTTTTTGGCCTTAGGGATTTTATACGTCAAAATATGATGTAGTATTCGAGAGGCCGGGTTGTGTATGTATCTCCCAGGAAAAAGGTTTCAATACTAGTGAGGCGACCTCGGCTGCTCTTAGTAGGCTTCCTTCCTCAACGTATTCTAAAGACGTTTCGATATAATATAATAATGTTTCGTTAAATAATATTTATCTATATTATAATGAAATGTTGGAACAAAGGGAACCCATCTATGACTTACCGATGCCCGTCCTAACTATTCCAAGGTAGTGTAATGTGAAGACAGGTAGTTTGTCCAGGTGAATAGTGAATAATTCTATTCACCAACTTCCTTCTCAAGACATGAGGGAGAAAGGTAAGGTAATTATGCGGAGAAAAGCCTAAGGCAGAATGACTAGCCCACGCTGAGGAAGAAATAATAGTATGTGTGGAAGGTTCTGGGAACTGGAAGGTTAACTCTGGGCTCAGGCCTTATATGATCTTCTAAAAGATTGTAAACACGTTGGACCCACACATACAGGTCACACACTGCCTAGTTGATGATGTCTTTTTATGCTTTTTGTATCATTTAATAGCAGTCTATTTATGATTATTTATATATAAATATATATATATCTTCACAAGTCACTCATAGTGAATAAATCCCTCCCCTAAGGCTCTCACGCACAACAATATGGAGGTCAACTATGCCACAGCTACTTAAGATACAATGTATTATTAGTATTTAGTTACGCTGCAGAACAATAGATGGCGCGCGCGCTGTCACAGGAGCTTCCAGTTTCTCTTATTATTGTCAACATTTACGTTGCTGCATATCTTCCTCATGTATCGGCCGTAGCATAGGGAGTTGACAATTGCTCTACTCGTGTACCATAGATTAAATGATTTAGGCAAGAAAGAAAAATATGTAAGTCAGTCATTATTTGAGCTGTGATCCACGGTGTTATCCAGCGACATGCGAAGGTTGCACTTCTTGGTTGGCGATGCGCCTTGCCAGTGAAGGCAGGTCATGCGCGCGCAGTTAAATCCTACTTCATCAAAAAACTTAAACCCTCTCAAGTCACTTAATTCTCACTCGAACTACACACCGCTACCTATATACCCTCTCAATGAGCAAAACCCATGTGGTTGACATACATATCTCTTTTTTTTAACAAACTTTGCGAGAGTAACTCAAAAGTTGCTTTTTTTTGAGTGGCGGGAAAAAATAGAAGTTCAAAAGCTGCTTTTACTCAAGTGCTCGTAACGCCAAGTGCTTCAAGAAGTGCATCCCAAGTGTGTGTGTCGAGGGGTAACGGCCACTATAGTTTATAAGAACGCGGGTTCGCGTGAGTCATGTAATGTCAGGGTGATAACGGTTACAAATTTTGTAAGAAAAGGCAAAAATTATTTTTATTAGAAACGTATATATGGAACAGAACTCGAGAACAAGACCAAACAAAACAAAACAAAAAAAAAATCTCGTTGGGTATTTATATTGTTGGAATTTTGATACCATCTTCTTGCTTTTGTCGGCGTATCAACAAACTCTTAGAAAAGTTATTTTATATAAATAACTTATTTGTATAAATAACTTTTCTTAAAGAGTTATTTTCAGGACTAGTATTTTTATAAATGAAACTTGTCATATAATTTGTTCTTTCTATTTAATTTGATTGTCACTTGTAATGTCGTTAGCAGACATGACAGACCTTAGTTACCTCATTATTTAAGGTATGGTAATGTCGCTGCCTGTGTAGGGCAGCGACTGAAAATAATGTGTATTTATCTACGTTACCACAAGTCTATTGTGAATAAAATATATTTTGACGTAGATTATGGTTTCCTTTTTATCCTTTTTATATTGTGTTTTTATTTCTGACCTGTGGGTTAACCAGTCAATAAAACGGGCAGGAATTACGATAAAGTAATAATATTTTTAAACTTTTTTCTGACGCTGTTTTGTGTTGACCAACAAAACTGTTTATATTATGTAATCGTAGAGGAGAGAAAGGTATAAACAATACAGTAAATATTGGAAGAGTTAATACATGTTAAATAAAATACATACAGTAAATATTGGAAGAGTTAATACATGTTAAATAAAATACATACAGTAAATATTGGAAGAGTTAATACATGTTAAATAAAATACATACAGTAAATATTGGAAGAGTTAATACATGTTAAATAAAACTAAAAAAAATTAGGAAAAAACGACAAAAATGGCAACACCACAAATGTTGCTATGAGGAAATTTTGGCTGAAAATAAAGTCCTAAAAATAAAAAGTTTACTCTGGCACTTCCTCTTGTCTATTTAATCACGAATGAACAAACCACCGTTGCTGGCAGCCGTTAATAAACTTAGAACAATATGTATTTTAATTGGATATTCTATTAAGATATAGTCCCTGTGGCGTAGTGGTAAAGCACTCTCCCAACGAGCGCTTTTGGTCTGGGTTCGTATCCAGGCCGGGGGAGGGTTGACCAATTTCTTTCTTTATTATGCAACCCATACCCATTCTGTGGGCGGTGGTGGAAAGGGTTACAGAGGCACATAATCGGTTCAAGAACTGAATTTATGAAGGATTAACTAGGCGCCAATCCTTAACTGTAGCCTAAAGATTTGTGGAAAAATATCCCGCACTAAGATACTGGCCAATTATTTGCCCTTTGTACAGGACTGTTGGAAATATCAACTTACGTCTAGACATATGTCTTATGTAAGTAATTATCTGAAGAAAACAAGAAGTTGTAAAGACTATGTAGCACTGTAGACATGTCTTAATCCTCTTTTAAGATGGAAAGTTAGACATTAATGCGTCGAATTAGTAATTGTCAGTCTCGTCAAATTACAGCAGACTGACAGCTGGAATAACTCCTTACTACTGTGATACTCTGAAATAAATTATTTAAATAGCCATTAGTAAAAATAGAAGGCTATACACAGTAAATATCGGGGTTTTAAACACAAGAAATTAATTCCTGGTATCCCCTCTTGAGGGGATACGGAGGCAGGGAGACTTTCCTGCCACAAGCGACCACAACAATGACATTACTCTTGCTTCAACCTGGACGCTGTACGGCCGTCTGGACACCTATTCTTCCTGGAGGCCGCTGGACAACGTGATGCCATTTTGACCACTGAATCTCAAAACCTCCGTCAGGCTTTCCTCCTCATCTGCCCAGAATAATACGATGCCAGGCTCACTCATTGTCTGGAGTCACAGGGAAGTTAATTGATTTTTTCCCCCCGTTTTCTGGTTGGTTATGAGGGCGGAGAGACGGTGTCCATCAGGGCTGGCTTGGCTGAGAGGTGCCGGATGTGGGTGGACTCCTGGTGTGTCCTCGGGGGGTTGGTGGGCGTCTGGGTCCCGTTCCTCAAGACGTTGCTGCCTTGTTACCAGTGGCTGAAGTCTTCGAGGAGCCATTTGGTCGCGACTTTGTTCGGCTTCTCAGATTTCACAGGACGCCTGACGCCATATTTTCAGTGTCCATTGTCATCAAGTTTGTTCCCACGTATAGGGGGGGGGGGTCAGGAGCTCCCATTCCCAGGGGACGTCAGGGGGGTTGTCAATCATCAGGCTAACCGTGTGTTTTATCCTCGCAATACTTTCTTGGCCCTGACAGTCGATTTGTACATAGCCGCTAGGCTTCGTGTTCGACCCTTCGATATTCTTTTTCAAAACAAAATATCGAGTTAAGTAAATGATGGTGTAGTAGTTGGTGAACTACTAATAATAAGTAGAACTACTAATAATAACTACTACTAATAAGCCTCTTAAGGTGAAGCAACGTTCCCCCAAAATAGGTTAGTCAAGATTTATTATCTTACCTTATTACCCATTAATTTTGTGTTGGATTAATAATTCTAATGTTTCGTTTGAGTGCCAAGATGTTTACATCATTTGTACATATTCTAACCAACCTTACTCTGAGGTGGTTTCGAGGATCTATAACCACTTGGCCCGGTTTCTGATCAGACCTCCAAATCGAGACTTGTAGAATAAATGAGGAATTGCAATATACGCTCTGAAGGGAGTTAATACAAGATTAAGTCGGAAGCCTCATGGGAAAATGTTTACAAAAGTCATCACTGAACTTGGTAAATATTCACATCAAGAAATAAAATACAACAAGGAAACAAAAAAGAACTTGTTGGATGACAAAGACAGTAAAAAAGCGCTCTTAACAACTGAACGAAGCCTCTACAAAAAGTATCAGTCCACCAGGAATCACATAGATTATGAGACATACAGAAGGGCATTAAATTCAACTATACCCAGGAAATTCGACCAGTTCAAAAAAGAACGAAAACTTGCTCAAAACGCTAAGAAAGCTTCAAACCATTTTTGTATACTTATATAAGAAATAAAACCAAAACAAATCTGTAGCTCCCTTAAAGGATGAGACCAACCTGAGCAATGATTGACGATTGACGATTTACTGGGCGCAAATCCTTAACTGTAGCCTTTGTTTAACTCAATAGTAAAATGTGTACTTGGTTGTAACAACGATTCTTCGCGGCGGAGATCGTATTCCAGGGACCTGCCCGAAATGCTACACGTACTAGTGGCTGTACAAGAATGTAACAACTCTTGTATATATCTAAAAAAAATAAAGGCAGCCAACGCTGAACAAATACTCTACATCAGTGTTCACACTAGAAAGATTAGACAACATCCTAGTACCCACAGATGTTTGAGGCAGGGGAAAGAGATTGAATTAAGGGATACTCCCATAACGTGCGGAACAACCTGGACACTGTCAATGCACACATTGACAAATTAAAGGAGTCTATAACCTCAAGTGTGGATGGAAGTCAACCCAAAGTCGTAAAGGAACTGGCTGAAGAACTGTACCACTGAAACTCCTGTTCAGAAAATTTCTGGACTAAGGGAAAGTCCCCTTCTGTTGGTAATATGCAAATGTCATGTCCTCATTCTGAAAAAGGCAGAAAGAGCTCGGCAGAAAACGACCGACTAATTGGCCAAAACTCACATATTTGCATCATCTAGTAAATTAAAGACAATATGGTTTGTTAAAGTTAGATAGTGTAGTTTATTTATTATGCACCCCATACCCATCTTGTGGGCGGTAGTGGAAAGAGTTACAGAGGCACATAATGGGCTCAGGAACTGAACCCCACAATTCATTTAGTTAAGCAAGTTACAATCTTGATGAGCTAGTTACAAAAATCAGTATAAGTCGTCAAGGTTAAAAACATACATCCTGCCTTACTTGCCTACGTTTTTTTTGGAGACATTAACTAGCTATTTAGACAAATAACTTCCAGTAGACGTAGCGTGCATAGACTTCTCTGAAGCTTTTGGTAAGGTACCACATGAAAGACTACTTAAAGTTAAAAGATTATAAACCCATGGAACTGACTACTGGAAAACTGTTATAAGGCAATGGTAGTTACAATATTTAAGAAAGGGGGACAGATACGAAGCACTATACTACATGTCAGTGTCATTAACATGCGTTCCATGTAAGAGTTTTGACAAAGGCACCTAATGCACCTGTTCACCTAACAGTAAGTAGGTACCCCGGAGTTAGGTCAGCTTGTGGGGTTGTATCATGGACTGGGTCAGTAATTCAACCCGGGGGGGGGGGAGGGGAACCTCGATATAAGCCTAACATGTACTGTATATATATACTGGCTGCCTGTCCCGCGACTCAATGAATTATTATTTAACCCAAAATTATTTGTAATTATGGCAAAGCAAAGTTATACTAGTTAGTCCTCTCATTTACAGAAAACATTGCATATCAAATGTAAAAGAAAACAATGAATAGTATGAGAAACTTTGGTATTTATAAAATATATATAATTTTTTTTATATAATTTTAAATTATATTATTCATTATGTCGGGGGACAGGCAGCCAGTATACATATACAATACATGTTAGACTTATATCAAGGTCACTCTATCCCCCCTAGTGTTCAATTACAGACCCCGCAACAAGCTGCCTAACTCCGTAGGACCAGTAATCACTCCTAGGTGAACAGCGGCATTAGGTGATTAGGAAACGCGCCCAACCATTTATGTCCCAACCCATCCTCGACTCAAGTCCATTACATCCAGCGGTCAACCCCACAGACGCATTCATAAATTTTAACATGCTGTTCATTCAAAACGGGAATTTTCTCAAGTATAAATTAATATTATAATATATTAGCATATTGTGTATAAATAGGCATAGGTTAGGTTAGGTCAGGTGTTTAGGTTCTGTTGGCGATTATTTGTATTTGTAGTACGTGGGTGAAGCATTTACAGCGTTGTGGTTCGAACAAAATTCGTCAGTGAAACACTTGTTCCGGATATGTTCGAACGTCAGCAGTTGTGAGTCGTGTGTAAACCGCTTTTCATTCATAAACAGGGGGTTTGGCGGGTGCATGGAATCACTTTTGGATCTTTGTTTGGAGGACGGGCTGTCTGTCCCGCCCGGGGATTCGAACCCGGAATTCTCGGTTGTGAGTCGAGAACGAACTACCAGACTGAACTACCGAGGAGCCGATAAAATTGACACTTGAATTTACCTCGAGTAACGACATCTTATTATTGGTCTCGGGGGGGGGGGGGGGAGCCGGCGGCTTGTCAAATGTTCTTTGACCTGCAGTAATGTTTAAATAACCCGTCCTCTCGAACGTTCCCAACGTCATTAAACCGACGTAAAATGTATGTATGTATGTATGTATGTATGTATGTATGTATGTATGTATGTATGTATGTATGTATGTATGTATGTATGTATGTATGTTGCCCACCACCCATTACACACACACACACACACATACACATCACCCAGTACATACTAGCTAGTACACACATACACACACACACAAGGGCGCTGGTGGGTGAGTGGACAGCACGCTGGACACGTAATCCTGTGGACCGGGGTTCGATTCTTGGCGCCGGCGAAAAACAAAATGGGCAGAGATTCTTTCACCCTGAATGCCCCTGTTACCTAGCAGTAAATAGGTACCTGGGAGTTAGACAGCTGTCACGGGCTGCTTCCTTTGTGTGTGGGGGGGACAAAAAAAAGTTAGTAGCAGTTGATTGACAGTTGAGAGGCGGGCCGAAAGAGCAGAGGTCAACCCCCGCAAGCACAACTAGGTGAATAGAACAAGGTGAATACACACCACGCATTACACACACTGGAGGAATGGTCTAGAAAATGGCTATTAAAGTTCAACTCAGGAAAGTGTAAAGTAATGAAATTAGGCGAATGGAGCAGGAGGCTGAACACAAGGTACCATCTGGGAGGTGATATCCTGCAAGAGTCAAATAGAGAGAAAGATCTGGGGGTTGATATCACACCGAACCTGTCACCAGAGGCCCACATCTAAAGGATATCATCAGCGGCATATGCTAGACTGGCCAACATAAGAACTGTCTTTAGAAACTTGTGTAAGGAATCGTTCAGGACCTTGTTTACCACTTATGTCAGACCAATCCTGGAGTATGCAGCTTCAGCCTGGAGTTCATACCTAGTTAAACACAAGACAAAGTTAGAGAAGATTCAGAGGTATGCCACCAGACTGGTCCCGGAACTGAGAGGTATGAGCTACGAGGAAAGGCTAAAGGAGCTGAACCTCACGTCCCTTGAAAACAGAAGAGTAAGGGGAGACATGATAACCACCTACAAAATTCTCAGGGGAATTGACAGGGTGGACAAAGACAAACTATTCAGCACGGGTGGGACACGAACAAGGGGACACAGGTGGAAACTTAGTACCCAGATGAGCCACAGGGGCATTAAAAAGATTTCTTTCAGTGTCAGAGTAGTTAACAGATGGAATGCACTAGGACGTGATGTGGTGGAGGCTGACTCCATACACAGTTTCAAGTGTAGATATGATAGAGCCCAGTAGGCTCAGGAATCTGTACACCAGTTGATTGACGGTTGAGAGGCGGAACCAAAGAGCCAAAGCTCAACCCCCGCAAGCACAACTAAGTGAGTACACACACACACACACACACACACACACACACACACACACACACACACACACACACACACACACACACACACACACACACACACACACACACACACGTGTGTGTGTGTGTTATCTGTACACCAGTTGATTGATCTGTACACCAGATCTGTACACCAGTTGTATCTGTGTGTGTTATCTGTACACCAGTTGATTGACAGTTGAGAGGCGGGACCAAAGAGCCAAAGCTCAACCCCCGCAAGCACAACTAAGTGAGTACACACACACACACACGCACACACACACACACCCACCCACCCACCCACACACACACACACACACACACACGCCCACACCCACCCACCCACCCACCCAGACCCACCAAACAAGGCAGTTCAACAGCCCCCCCCAACTAAAGCCGCCCATCAGAGGCATCACAAGGCGAAATTCCTGGCAGGTGTCCACTATCGCTTGTATTAATGGGCGCTAATTAAGGGCCAGAGCTCTCAATGGTCCCACTGTTGACCTTAATGGTCTCACTGTTGACCTTAGCCAAGGTTTTGACCGGGACTAATTGGAGTCGGTTATTATTGGGGGCTTGGACGATTTATGGCTGTTTATTGTGGGGAATGGTTTAACGGTAGTTACCGTTGTTACCCCTCCCGTTAATGTGGTCTGTGGTACCCTTCCCGTTAATGTGGTCTGTGGTACCCCCTTCCCGTTAATGTGGTGTTTGGTACCCCCTTCCCGTTAATGTGGTCTGTGGTACCCTTCCCGTTAACGTGGTCTGTGGTATCCCTCCCGTTAATGTGGTCTGTGGTACCCTTCCCGTTAATGTGGTTTTTGGTACCCCCCTTCCCGTTAATGTGGTGTTTGGTACCCCCTTCCTGTTAATGTGGTCTTTGGTACCCTTTCCCGTTAATGTGGTGTTTGGTACCCCCTTCCTGTTAATGTGGTCTTTGGTACCCTTTCCCGTTAATGTGGTGTGTGGTACCCTTCCCGTTAATGTGGTGTGTGGTACCCCTTCCCGTTAATGTGGTCTTTGGTACCCCTTCCCGTTAATGTGGTGTGTGGTACCCTTCCCATTAATGTGGTCTGTGGTACCCTTCCCGTTAACGTGGTCTGTGGTACCCCTCCCGTTAATGTGGTCTGTGGTACCCCTCCCGTTAATGTGGTTTTTGGTACCCCCTTCCCGTTAATGTGGTGTTTGGTACCCCCTTCCTGTTAATGTGGTCTTTGGTACCCTTTCCTGTTAATGTGGTGTGTGGTACCCTTCCCGTTAATGTGGTGTGTGGTACCCTTCCCGTTAACGTGGTCTGTGGTACCCTTCCCGTTAATGTGGTCTGTGGTACCCCTTCCCGTTAATGTGGTGTTTGGTACCCCTTCCCGTTAATGTGGTGTTTGGTACCCCTTCCCGTTAATGTGGTGTTTGGTACCCCTTCCCGTTAATGTGGTGTTTGGTACCCCTTCCCGTTAATGTGGTGTTTGGTACCCCCTTCCCGTTAATGTGGTGTTTGGTACCCCCTTCCCGTTAATGTGGTGTTTGGTACCCTTCCCGTTAATGTGGTGTTTGGTACCCCCTTCCCGTTAATGTGGTCTTTGGTACCCTTCCCGTTAATGTGGTCTTTGGTACCCTTCCCGTTAATGTGGTCTGTGGTACGCTTTCATTATGTGCCTTTATACTTTCCCTCAGGTACTCTTTCTTCCACTTTCTCATGTCCCTTTTCCCTTGTTCTTCTTCCATCCACTCCTCTAGATCCTCTTTCTACCATATTTCTCCTCTCTCTCTCTCTCTCTCTCTCTCTCTCTCTCTCTCTCTCTCTCTCTCTCTCTCTCTCTCTCTCTCTCTCTCTCTCTCTCTCTCTCTCTCTCTCTCAGGGTGAGCCAGATGCGGTCGAAGAGACCAGGACCTCAGTGCCTACTGTGACCCGCACTGGAGAGGTCTCTCACAGTGCCTAGCTGATCTCAGGTATGTTGAGAGAGAGAGAGAGAGAGAGAGAGAGAGAGAGAGAGAGAGAGAGAGAGAGAGAGAGAGAGAGAGAGAGAGAGAGAGAGAGAGAGAGAGAGAGAGAGAGGGAGGGAGAGAGAGAGAACAGTCGGACAGGGGGTAACATGTAAGGTTTTATTTGCCAGGTGGAAACCTGTGAATGCACCATGAGGCTGCTACAACACTTTCTCCTACTTCTGCTGCTGCTGTCTCTGCTCAGCTGCAGTGGTGGTGGTGTTGAGGCGTCTCTAAGTGCTAGTGTTGCTGTGTCGTCAAGTTCCAGTTCTGGAAGTGTTGCTGTGTCGTCAAGTTCCAGTTCTTCGAGTTCCAACACTTCAAGTTCCAGCTCTTCGAGTTCCAGCTCTTCTGGCTCCGTCTCTGGGAGTGTTGACGTGTCTTCAGGTTCGGTCTCTGGGAGTGTTGATGTTTCTTCTAGTTCCAGTTCAAGTAACAGTTCTGGAACTGTCGGCGCGTCTGTCAGTGTCGGTTCCAGCGGATCGTCATCCACCTCGTCTGTCTCCAAGACGTCTGCTTCCTCTGCTCCAACCACAGTCATAACTCGTGCTACAACCATTCCTACCACAACTACTCGTGCCTCAACCACAACACACCCTTCTACCACAACCAAAACACCCCCTTCTACCACAACCACAACACCCCCTTCTTCCACAACCACTCATACCACTGCTGCCACTATCATACCAACCACTGCTGCCACACCCACAGTGGCTAATTCACCCACACCACTAACCTCTCAAACAAGCACACGCACTGTTTACACCATAACAACCACAACAGGAATCTATGACACAATACCAACCGCCACAAATATACAACCACCACCACCACCACAATCACCACCACCAGCAGGAGACACTATCGTCACAGACCAGGCCTCCTGGACGCACTTCGAAGTTGACTACACGAACTCCACCCACTGGGGAAACCTCTTCAGAGCTCAAGGCGTCGCAATACACCCAGACAACTGCTTCCTAATTCAGCACTTCCCAACCGCATGTGAGTATATGCGCTTCTCGATCACCAATACATGAGCCTATATGCCTGCCGAAGGCACAAGAGACCATACTGAGGTTACTGCTACATGGGATTGAAACAATCTGATTCGATTTAGCGTGTGCAGAGAGGGGATTGTGAGAGCTTAATTCCGTTCGGTGCATTCAAAAAGAGGGATCTGGAGGATTTTAGGTCGGTTTAGCGAGCTCAAAACAAGGGTTAGGAGCACTTTGGTTTTAATATGAGGTCAAGTATATATTAATATATGTGCAGACTGCTTGTTGCTGAGACTATCGGCGGTCTTGCCAGCAACGGAGGCAATGTTTAATGTGTTCCAATCATGCACAGCAATGTTTAGTGTGTTCCAGTCATGCACAACAATGTTTAGTGTGTTCCAGTCATGCACAGCAATGTTTAATGTGTTCCAGTCATGCACAGCAATGTTTAATGTGTTCCAGTCATGCACAGCAATGTTTACTGTGTTCCAGTCATGCACAGCAATGTTTAATGTGTTCCAATCATGCACAACAATGTTTAATGTGTTCCAGTCATGCACAGCAATATTTAATGTGTTCCAGTCATGCACAGCAATGTTTAATGTGTTCCAGTCATGCACAGCAATGTTTAATGTGTTCCAGTCATGCACAGCAATGTTTAATGTGTTCCAGTCATGCACAACAGTGTTTAATGTGTTCCAATCAAGCAAAATAATGTTTAATGTGTTCCAATCATACAAAGCAATGTTTACTGTGTTCCAATCATGCACAGGTGTGTTCCAATCATGCACAGCAATGTTTAGTGTGTTCCAATCATGCAGTTTATCCATCCTATTGTTTACAATGTGATCTTAGAAATCATAGAAATATATAGACGTCATATAAATATATTCGATTTGCTTAAAAATTATTTATTTAATTAAAATTTTTATGAAGATTTTCTTCTTTCCAGATCATCAACTCATCAATGTAATAATTTTCCCTATTTCCCGACACACATTTCATGCTGTGCCAGTCTGTAGTTTTGCACCTCGACCCCAGCTTCCTTTCACAAAATGCTGAGACATTTGCATCTTTCCAACTGCCAGGCAGTTCACCCATTTGGAGTGTGGTATTAGATGTATTCATTTAAGCTTTTGTATGTAATCTTTGTGGCCATTGTTAGTGCTCCTTGAGTCACTTTAGTGAGGTCTTAGTGCTAATGTACTTCTATAACTACAGTAGCCTAAAGTAACTAGGTTATTGTAGTTATTTACAACTAGGCTACTGTAGTTATTTACAACTAGGCTACTGTAGTTATTTACAACTAGGCTACTAAAGTTATTTACAACTAGGCTACTAAAGTTATTTACAACTAGGCTACTAAAGTTATTTACAACTAGGCTACTAAAGTTATTTACAACTAGGCTACTAAAGTTATTTACAACTAGGCTACTGTAGTTATTTACAACTAGGCTACTGTAGTTATTTACAACTAGGCTACTGTAGTTATTTACAACTAGGCTAATGTAGTTATTTACAACCAGTCATGTACTGCTAATGTGACATCCAGTGTGATCTAATTTCCCAAGAACTGGGAGAGAATCTCCATGCTGCTGCTGCCTGCTGTTTGGCTTCAAAGTAAATGAGACAGGAAGCCTAGCATGCTAATAGAGATCATCCTAACCAAAGGGTTCTTCTCCACCGAGATGAATCACGTCAAAGCCGCTGGACCTCATCCTCGCTAATCATGTGATCTTCCTCCAGGTGCCTGTCGGTACCTGTGCATGATGCAGTATAGACGAGAGTGCCAGGCCTGGGCGGCCGTTGGCACTGGGGATAGCGTGGAGTGCCGCTTGAGTGATAGAGGTCCTCAGATAACCCAACTAGTGCAGGAGGGAGCCGCTGTGTACTACTTCAAGCAAGGTGAGCAGTGTTGGCATGTGGGTAGTGGCAAGGTGCCACGTGAGAGGGCCATCTATGGCATACCCTCCCACCGTGGGTCCATGGCACCTTTCCTATCCATGGTGGCACATAAGAATGGTATTAGTGCCACAGATTCCCAGAATTATCATTCGGGAATGGTGTTAAATCCGGTGGTCTCCAGTGAAGAGAGAGGGAAGTCTAACCTAGCCAGTTAGACTTAGACAAGTCTTACTCAACTTGAGCCGTTAGTCATCATGGCTCGTTGGGGGCAGCCATATGGCTCTGAGGCCAGATTCACGAAGCAGTTACGCAAGCACTTACGAACCCGTACATCTTTTCTCAATCTTTGGCGGCTTTGTTTACAGTTATTAAACAGTTAATGAGCTCCGAAGCACCAGGAGGCTGTTTATAACAATAACAACAGTTGATTGGCAAGTTAAAGATTGAGGAAAGATGTACAGTTTCGTAAGTACTTGCGTAACGACTTCGGGAATCTGGCCCCTGGCTTTGTTGCCTAGTCCATATAGTCTACTGTAGATATTTACAACTAGGCTACTATAATAATTTACAACCAGGCTACTGTAATTATTTACAACCAGGCTACTATAATTATTTACAACTCGGCTACTGTAGTTATTTACAACCAGGCTACAGTAATTATTTACAACTAGGCTACAGTAATTATTTACAACCAGACTACTATAATTATTTACAACCAGACAACTATAATTATTTACAACCAGGCTACTATAATTATTTACAACCAGACAACTATAATTATTTACAACCAGACTACTATAATTATTTACAACCAGACTACTGTAATTATTTACAACCAGGCTACTATAATTATTTACAACCAGACTACTATAATTATTTACAACCAGGCTACTATAATTATTTACAACCAGACTACTATAATTATTTACAACCAGGCTACAATAATTATTTACAACCAGACAACTATAATTATTTACAACCAGGCTACTATAATTATTTACAACCAGACTACTATAATTATTTACAACCAGACTACTATAATTATTTACAACCAGACAACTATAATTATTTACAACCAGACTACTATAATTATTTACAACCAGACTACTGTAATTATTTACAACCAGGCTACTATAATTATTTACAACCAGACTACTATAATTATTTACAACCAGGCTACTATAATTATTTACAACCAGACTACTATAATTATTTACAACCAGGCTACTATAATTATTTACAACCAGACTACTATAATTATTTACAACCAGACTACTGTAATTATTTACAACCAGGCTACTATAATTATTTACAACCAGACTACTATAATTATTTACAACCAGACAACTATAATTATTTACAACCAGGCTACTATAATTATTTACAACCAGACTACTATAATTATTTACAACCAGACTACTATAATTATTTACAACCAGACTACTATAATTATTTACAACCAGACAACTATAATTATTTACAACCAGACAACTATAATTATTTACAACCAGACTACTATAATTATTTACAACCAGACAACTATAATTATTTACAACCAGACTACTGTAATTATTTACAACCAGGCTACTATAATTATTTACAACCAGGCTACTATAATTATTTACAACCAGGCTACTATAATTATTTACAACTAGGCTACAGTAATTATTTACAAATATGCGACTGTAGTTATTTACACTATATTGAGAATAAATTATCCACAAAGGAATAAATCTGACGTAAATAAATGATACAGTTTAAGTCATTGACGGCTCTGGGACAGGAGAAGGCCGCTGCGTCAGGGATAAAGTATCCTCTGTCGAAATAAATTGCTGCTTCGTGAGGCATATTTGTTGATGATTAAGGCTGTTAAACAGTGGGAGGGAACTTGAGGGACGGATCTACGATGGGACGGATCTACTATGGGACGGATCTACGATGGGACGGATCTATTATGGGACGGATCTACGATGGGACGGATCTACGATGGGACGGATCTACGATGGGACGGATCTACGATGGGACGGATCTACGATGGGACGGATCTACGATGGGACGGATCTACGATGGGACGGATCTACGATGGGACGGATCTACTATGGGACGGATCTACGATGGGACGGATCTACTATGGGACGGATCTACGATGGGACGGATCTACTATGGGACGGATCTACTATGGGACGGATCTACGATGGGACGGATCTACGATGGGACGGATCTACGATGGAACGGTGGCTGTTAAGGGCCCCTGACTTTGATGAATGCTTTTCGTATGTGCTTGTTCAATTCCCTATAGATGCTTGTATATCGCGATCATGTCTCCTCTGTTCTATACTGCTAAGCATGTGGATTCTGGAGGGAGAGATGGTGGGAGAGGTGGGATGAAGAGGGATAGTGGATAGAAGAAGGGAGAGAGGAAGATGGAGAACGAGCCCGTGTCGTTATCCGCCCAGTACAGTAGAGGATAGGAGTATACCTGGAGTATACCTGGAGAGGGATTCGAGAGTTATTATACTCCCCGAGCCCGGCATGAGGCCAGGGGCACGGAGCTTATCACTATCTGGAACCAAAAGGTTGGTTCCCAAGGTGACTTTCACAGTCAATTAATGCTTTTAACTGGTCAATTAATCTCTTAAATTGCGGCCACAGTGATCATTCGGATGCCAACTCTTAGGTGCCTTGGGAATAGCGATGCTGTGTTTGCAACTCTCCTCTGCTACTATTCCCTCTTGACGTACTCCACCAAACACGGGAATTAAGCCAGTCTGTCCTCTCAAACATACAGACGAGGAGTCACAATAACGTGGCTGAAATATGTTGACCAGACCACTCACTAGAAAGTGAAGGGACGACGACGTTTCGGTCCGTTCTGGACCCTTCTCAAGTCGAAACGTCGTCGTCCCTTCACTTTCAAGTGTGTGGTTTGGTCAACATACACAAATATTATCAAAACTCACATATGAGAAGTTTAATTAAAATCTTCTTGTTATTGACACAACACAATTCAGTTGTGTTACAAATCTATGTAATACTAGTGGGAAGGTTCTCTCTCAAGAGAGAACTGGATAAGCACCTCCAAAGGATACCTGATCAACCAGGCTGTGACTCGTACGTCAGGCTGCGAGCAGCCGCGTCCAACAGCCTGGTTGATCAGTCCGGCAACCAGGAGGCCTGGTCGACGACCGGGCCGCGGGGACGCTAAGCCCCGGAAGCACCTCAAGGTAACCTCAAGGTAAAGTTAGGTTAGGTTAGGTTAGGTTAGGTTAGGTTAGGTTAGGTTAGGTTAGGTTAGGTTAGGTTAGGTTGTGTTAGCGCCTTATGCAGTGCCATAATGGGCTGAAGGAATGTGAGGAAATACTCGTACCCTGTACTGTCGATCAACAAGTGGAATACACTACAAGAATAAGTTGTAGAAGCCACCTCCATCCACAACTATAAGATCAGATTCCACAAAAAATTCGAACATCAGAATAGTTAAATACAGGTACAACAATCTAGGCTGGTATTTAGAACATATTACAGGAACAACCGTGGACATCTTCAAGAGGAATCTAGATTGTTTCCTTCAAGGAATGCCGGACCAACCGGGCTGTGGTGGGTATGTGGGCCTGTGGGCCGCTCCAAGCAACAGCCTAGTGGACCAAGCTCTCACAAGTCAAGCCTGGCCTCGGGCCAGACTTGGGGAGTAGAAGAACTCCCAGAACCCCATCAACAAGGTATAAAAAGCGAGATCTCACTTTCCCGAAGCTAATACAGGCCAATTTCGTACGGAATACAGTTACAAAATCAATACTTTGATGAGTGTGTCTTGTCTCATGAGAGTTTCTGGTTCAGGGTCGGTGGAGGGAAGGTACAGGTGGGAGGAGGATCACCTGCTCTACCTGGCACTCAACACCAGCAGGACCTTCACGGCGGCCAGAGCCTTTTGTGCCTCTATTCCCGGTCACCGCCTCGCTATCTTCAAGACCCCCACCCAGCTCCAGGTGCTGGCAGCCTTCGCTAGTCAAGGTGAGAGGGAAGGTGGGAGGGAGGGAGTGGGAGAGAAGGAGAGAGTGGGGAGAAGAAGAGAGATTGGGAGTGAGGGAGTGAGAGAGAAGGAGAGAGAGAGTGAGAAGAAGAGAGATTGGGAGTGAGGGAGTGAGAGAGAAGGAGAGAGAGAGTGAGAAGAACAGAGATTGGGAGGGAGGGAGTGGGAGAGAAGGAGAGAGAGTGAGAAGAGAGATTGAGACGGAGGGAGAGAAAGGGAGGGAAAGAGAAAGATAATATAGAAAAAAAGGAAGGTTATGGGAGGATGAAAGAGGAGAAAGGTACAGGATATAAAAGAAAATTATTCTTCGTCGTTTTAAATAAAAAAGTTAAAAATGCACAAATCTTAAATATATGCATCGGTCATTTTATTCAATATTTAAATGTCTAAATAAAAACAAACCAAGAGTTTTATATTATTTCAAAATTCACTTCATCAAAGTACGAAATTTAAAAAAAAATCTTGCCATGAATAATACCTTATCTACTGACTGATTACGTCTCCTTGATCGATTAATACCTTATCTACTGACTGATTACGTCTCCTTGATCGATTAATACCTTATCTACTGACTGATTACGTCTCCTTGATCGATCAATCAATGCTAATTAATCTAGTCTATTATACTGTCTCCACAACTCATCCACCACCCACAGTGTTGTATTACACAAGTATACTGTATCATACAGGACGGTAGAAACAACCTAATCTACTTTGTCCTCGGTAGATTTATCTTGCCTCAATAAACATACTTGAACTCGCATCAAACTAAACTGCTTAACAAGTTCAAGAATGTTTATTGAGTCAAGAAAGAAATACATCTCAAAGGGATAGAGTAGCTTAGGCTATATAAACCTATTTAACATTTATTAACCTATTTAACATTTATTAACCTATTTAACATCTCCAGTTCAAGCCAGCAGCGGAGACATGGTGACCTTTGACCTGACCAGGAGCTCTAGGGGACTCGTATGGGGGGACGGAACTCCCTACACGCTAACGACCCTCTCCAATTATCCCCTCAAGGATAACAAGGATCCATCAATGACCAGCTTCACCTTTCTTCAAGGAGAGGTCCGCAGTGTGAAGGACTTCGCTTTTATGTTTCTCTGTCAGGTCAACCCGCTTCGGGTAGACTGGTAGATTGTGGTACGGATGTGGTAGATGACGGAGCGGGGGAGGGGGTGTTAAAGATTCGCTACCTGGAACAAAAAGTTCCAAGTAGCACGGGCTATGGTGAGCCCACAGAGGCTTTTGGCGGAGGGGGCGTGGTAGATTGTATAGGTTATAGATGCCACCAATTAACTAACAAACAACAATTGGTCACATGCAGATGCCAGACAAAATTTGCAAATCCTGTAAACAAACTTGTAAATGGTGAAAACAAAAATAAATCTTCATATCTCTGATATATTATTTACAATTCATAACTACCATTGTCATGTACAGGAAGTCTGTTTCCTAACTCCTGGATATCTACGGCAAGGTGAACAGAGGCATCAGGTTAAAAGATACGTGCCCAATTGTTTCTGTCATTCCCCGGCGATTGAACCACTTGGGTTGTGAGTCGAGGACGTAGACTAATGTGCTACAGGACCCCTGTTATATCTCAGATCCTGTTCTAATGTACGAAGCCTATGATTTTCGCCCTTCATTCAAAACCTACGGAAATATAAAAAAAATGGCTAGACTTGTGTCTTATGTACGTAATTATCAAAAGAAAACGCGAAGCCGGGAAGACTGTGTAGACATGTGTCTTAATCCTGTTCTAAGAGGTGAAGTTAGACATTAAGACGTGCAAACCACAGTGACAGTGTAAGGGGTGGGGGGGGGGGGGCGCGTGTACGAAAAGACCGGTTTCAACATAAACAAACCAGACTCGTCAACTGGATCTGGGATTAAATAATTGATAATTGTTCACTCATAAAATTAATAATCTTTCTGTCGGTAAATTAAAAGAAATGACGCATAATTTATATGGCTCACTTATGTATAATATAATTTATAATGGCTCACTTATTTTCACATTTCAATAATTTTTTATTCAAAATTTAAATAATTTATAATGGCTCACTTATATATAAAATTTATATGGCTAATAATCCACAAACTATATTAAAATCACGAGTATCAACGAGTGTCAAATCTTGACAAATTATAGAAGACTGACAGTTAGTATAACTCCTTACTCCTGTGAGATTATATCTTTAATAAATTATACAAATAACCATTAACATAATTAGACAGCTATTAACAGTAAATACAGTTTATTAAAGCCTGATAAAGGAATTGCCGGTAGCCCTCTTGAGGGGGCTACGGGGTGTCAGGGAGAGACTCGTGTCACAAGCGACCACAACAACGCGGGTGGAGGCGGCGCCCGGAGTCAGTAGTGATGGCCACGCCGGTCGTTGGGTACTTCCTCCACTACCCTCGTCCCTCCACGTCCGGACACTACGGAGGGGATGAACAAACATGTTAGCCAGAGGTGCGTACTTTCAACCCAGTTAGCGCTGAAGCTTCCGTTCTGTCTTCACGTTAAACTATTTCGATGGTAAGACAAGTGTTTTGAATTTGCATATAGTAATTTCTCCCTAAAAGCTAAATTTTTAGGTTTCTGTATTTAAATATGCTGGAGGTATGTTTGTGGGAGGCGGTTTGGTTATCAGGGACAGTACAAGTACTCGCTGCTAGCTCCCGAAAGTGTACAAACCTCCAAAATACTACAGTACATCAGGACCAATTTTTTTTTATATATGTTAGTCAGTCAATAGAATAAAAGAAAACGTACTCGTCTCACACATAAAAGAAAATGGTAAATATGGTATGTATGACTACACCAATATTAATTCACCCTTTTTCATTCATTACATCACTCTTTATTTAATTTGATTTTAGTAATTGATTTATTTTCTGAATTTACTTAGAGTGATCTAGACGAAGACAGTAAGCCGGTGGCTTGTCAAAGGCTTCAACCCCCCCCCCCCACTTGATGTCTGTAATTAGTGTCTCACCAACCCTAACAAACGGATATTATTGGTTATTTTTATTTATTTATTTATTTACAATATGTATAATTTATATCTGTACAAACTAAATTCAGGTGGTACAAGGTACCAGTCACTCACAGGTGGAACAAGGTACCAGTCACTCACAGGTGGTACAAGGTACCAGTCACTCAGGTGGTACAAGGTACCAGTCACTCACAGGTGGTACAAGGGACCAGTCACTCACAGGTGGTACAAGGTACCAGTCACTCACAGGTGGTACAAGGTACCAGTCACTCACAGGTGGTACAAGGTACCAGTCACTCACAGGTGGTACAAGGTACCAGTCACTCACAGGTGGTACAAGGTACCAGTCACTCACAGGTGGTACAAGGTACCAGTCACTCACAGGTGGTACAAGGTACCAGTCACTCACAGGTGGTACAAGGTACCAGTCACTCACAGGTGGTACAAGGTACCAGTCACTCACAGGTGGTACAAGGTACCAGTCACTCACAGGTGGTACAAGGTACCAGTCACTCACAGGTGGTACAAGGTACCAGTCACTCACAGGTGGTACAAGGTACCAGTCACTCACAGGTGGTACAAGGTACCAGTCACTCACAGGTGGTACAAGGGCCCAGTCACTCACAGGTGGTACGAGGTACCAGTCACTCACAGGTGGTACAAGGTACCAGTCACTCACAGGTGGAACAAGGTACCAGTCACTCACAGGTGGTACAAGGTACCAGTCACTCACAGGTGGTACAAGGTACCAGTCACTCACAGGTGGTACAAAGTACCAGTCAC